ATTTAACAGCCATGCTTTTAAAGTCACCAGGTCTGATCCTTGCTTTTTTATTACTATAAGAAATACTGCTTTGAGACACAAGTCTAACCACTTTGGACAAACTGAGAAATTAGTAACTGCCTGATAACCAGATAATTCAGTCCAAAGAATAAGAACTGTAATATTGACGAAGCTGCCAAAGCATCTTTTCACTAAAGAAGTTATGTATTTATTACTGTATTCCATACTTATGGATTTTTTGGTACCTTTTCAAAGAAGATGGTAAACATGGAGTTATAACCCTGAGAATAGACATAAAAAATAGAGAAGTGTAGGAAGAGTTTAAATAAATTAACGCACTTACATCTATCACCATTTCTAAAAATTAGGGAAGGGGATCCCATATTTTTTCAAGGTCAATTAGTATTAATTAATCTGTGTATTACAGACTTAATACGAGCTTTGAGAAGAACTTCAGAGTTGTAAAGTGGTGGCAACTGTTTTACACAACAAACTGAGAGGTAGATAGCCCACCTATCTTCAGTTGTACTGTCCAAAAATTACGTTCCCCTTTACAAGAGAAAAAACTTTCTACCAAGTCAGATGGAATCAATAGTAAAAAGTAAGAACACTTAAGAATGCTCTCTAATTAGACCAGAGTCTAAAGCTTTTCCATATCTGACACTGGATACACAGGGAAATGAGGTCAATTTTGCCTGAAACCAAACACAATCAGGACCAAAAACTAACTTAGAGGTGGTGGTGCTGTAACATACCCCTCAGATACTATGTTATGTAATCCATTTTAATCAAGTTCATCTTCAGGCACAAATAAACTTGAAATGGCCACCTCCAGTCTGGAGTAGCATAACCTGTCAAGTAAAGTATTTCGCTAGAAAATAAGTGTACTAAGATATTTGATATTGTGATGTTTTACTTTTTAAAGGGATTCCAAAATTATCTTCCCACCAAATTCAACAGTTTCTTAGATTTAACTAGAAGTCATGAAGATAAACTAAGATAAACTTAGTTGCCATCAACAAAAAATGCTTGGGAATCACATGGCAGCAATAAGCAAACAGAAATGGAGGATGGTATTTAACTAGTTTCCTATGTGGATGAGATTTGTAATTGCACTCTTAACAACTCTACAATTCCAAAATAGTAGGAGAAACCTACATATAACTTAAATATTTTTCCAGCCCTGTACATGCTAGTATTTTAAAAAACACACATACACACACACACACACACACACACACACACTCATCCTAAGTCTAAGGCACACAAACTCTTCTATTTCACAGAATAAGACTATGGAAGAGCCAAATTTTGGTTAAATCTTTTAGATAAAAACCAGGATAGATCTCAGAGATAAATACGATAGCATTTGTTAGTGCACAATTTAAAAGAAAATGCTACAACTATGCTCTGGCCTTGGAGTTTTAAAAAATAACGCTCAAAACATTTTTAAAAAATAATAATTTACCAGCACTTTATAAATTCAAGTTTATAAAATAAAAGTGATAATGTTTTCCTTAAGAAAGGAGGAAAAGAAAGACAGACAGAAACTAAAAACTATTTCAATGAAAATGACCAAATCTGGTATAATGTATTCTATTTAAGTAGCCAGAGAAGTTTTACCAGAAAAGAGGAAAGAAAAGTGGTAGGTACTTTGCCTACTAATCATGGTTATACCTCCCATGATTGTAATGTCAGTATGTACATAGTATTTTACGGAAAATCTGTAAACATAGGTCATATGAAATTATTACACTACTAAGAACGGGGGATGGGGGGTTTAGAAACTACCACCTCTTGACAAATTCAAAAAATAATTTCATGACATCTGCTACCATGAAAGTAATGCTCATTGGTTTTGATAACCAGGATGTCTAGTGTTTAACAAATTTCAAACTATAACTTTATGTAGTCAAATACTGTCAAAAGTAGATCTGCCCCCAAAATGAAGCATATTTTGGCACCTGTGCTAAATGCTGCTAGAAAAGCAAGTGCAAATAAAAATAACAGTCATGATTTAGTCACATTCATAACTTTTCATAGAAAAATATAAATATATTCCCTGAATTGTAGGACAAAAAATAATTTCAACAACTAGCTTCCACCATAAATCCCAATCCATTTTTTCTTTTAAATGAACTGGTTTTCCCTCAAGGTCATAAGGTGCAATCATCTAACACATTTTCTAAGCTTTTATCATCATCCCCATCGTGGTATCTTACAGTCCTTCTACCCTGATTTCTCGTTTTTATTTTTGAACGTCGAAGAACTCTTTTAGACTTTGCATAGTCCAAATCCTCCCAGTCATTGTCATCCACATTTAACCTAGGTCGTTTGCTTTGTCTTTGTTGTCTCACAGTTTTAGATAGAGTAGCCTTAAAAGTTTTACCTTTTCTAACTACTTTTGCTTTTCCTTTTGTTTTCCTCTTTTTAGTTTTTGAATGATCACTACAGTCAATATCTGATTCAGTGGCAGATCCCCTATCTGAATCAGATTTGAGACTAGTGTCAGGTCCAAACTTTGAACACCCTGTTGTTTCAGAAATCTCCACATTTTCCAATTCAGGATGTCTTCTTTTCCTTTTAGTTTCTACCTCTCCTGATTGCTTAGAGTCAGGAATCACTTTTGTCTTGCTGAATGGAGCTTTCCCATAGGTCCTGAGTCTTCTGCCATTCCACCTGCGTAGGTCATAATTCAGTTCCTCTTCAAAGGTATTCTCTGAAGGCACGTTTAACGTCAAAGTTGATGCAGAAGAAATTTTTCTACCCATCTTATCACGCAGAACACGACTTTTTGAATATTCTTCCGAAGACTCAATCAATGAATTTTTTGTTTTAGAAGGTGCAACTTTTGTTTTGTGACCGATACGCCTGTTCTTATGTTCTGAATTCAAATTACTTTCAGAATCAGAGTCTCCATCAAATGAATGACTAATACTTTTTGTACTACCTTCTGAGTCAGCTTCTTGTGGCTGACCTTCACAGGCATACTGTTCATTTGGCACTTCACAGTTTACATCTCCCTCAGAATCACTCAACACTTTCTTGGCTCTGGTACAGGCTGAATGAAGAGGCTTTTTCCTTCCATTCTTGCTTCTAGTACACATATTTTCTAAACTGACATCTACATCACTACTCATTAGTTTGATCTTATTGGAAGCTGAAGTTGCACATCTTCGAGGAATCCTTAGGAGACGTGTATTGACTTTTAGTGATCTCTTAACCACCTTTGAATTGCTGTCTGAGTCACTGGAACAGACCCTTTTTCTGGAAATTTTCTGACTGTGTCCACTGTCTTGTGATGTAGAATCTAAAAATAAAGAGTATTCTTTTAATAATAAAAGAAACATGAATAAAGAAATGTAGCTTTACTGAATGAAGTTAAATAGCTACTAGATCCACCTCCAAGGGCTGACAGGTTCAGTATGTTAAACACCTTAAACCCAGAATTCTGATTCACTTAGAGGGAATAGTAAAAAAAAACCGAGCAGAGTCCTATCTCTTTTAGCAGTGACTTTTACAGCCTCAGCACCATTCACAAATTAAACATATTCTCATCAGGGATATTCTATGTCCATTATCTGCACATTAAAAGCATATGACATTAACATACTATTTTATTAGCATGCACACAGACTAAACTTTTTACCACTGCATGAAGGTATGTGCAATGATGATTTTCTCTTTCTCCCTGAACCTTTTATTAGTAACACAAGTTCCCATCATACCAACTACTTTTGATCTTAGCTTTACTGCTCCTTAGTATTATTAATCACTCCCAATTTAGCAGAAATATGTTTCTAATTCAACAAGTTATTTCATCTTTCAATGCTTTAGTTATCTATTAGAAAAACTGGGTAATGATAATAAAGTGCCAAACCTATCTCATAAAAGTTATGGAGACTCAACTGATTAACAATATAATATAAAGCATTTAGAAAAAGTGCCTGATTAACCAGCACACCACCACCACCACCACCCACCCCTTTCTTTAAACAGCTCTGGAAGGACAGTGGTTACATCTCTGGCTGCTAATCTCAGGTCAGCAGTTTGCTTCCACAGGAGAAAAATGAGGCTTTCTGCTCCCATAAAAATTTACAGCCTCGGAAAGAAACCCTATAAAGGATCGCTAGGAGTCAGAACTGACTCCATTGCACATAACCAGCACCACCACCTCTTTCTTTTCGCACATCAAGTGGTCACAACCATGGTTTAATGGCTTACCTCTGCATTCTTAATTCCATAGCCCTCCCCAACATTAATACAAGAAGTTAAATCATGACCACATGTTGAAAATCGTTGTTAAAGGCAAGATTGCTGTGAGGCAAATAATGACAAGTACTTATACTTAGGAGCTCTGGTGGCGGAGTGCTTACGAATTGGGCTGCTAACCTCAGGGTCAGCAGTTAGAAACTACCAGTCATTCCGTGGGAGAAAGAGGAGGCTTTCTGCTCACGTAAAGATTTGCAGCCTCAGAATCCCCGTACAGGGTTGCTATGAGTCGGAACCGACTCCATGGCACATAACAACAACAACATTCTCAACAAAGTCCTGGTGTGGCACTGTGGGCTAATGCTCTGACTGCAAAGTCGGTTTGAACAGCAAGGTCAGCAGTTCAAGCTCACCAGCTACTCCTCAGAAACCCTATACAAGGAGCTCTAGTAGTGTAGTGGTTACAAATTGGGCTGCTAACCTCAAGGTCAGCGGTTCGAAACTACCAGCTGTTCTACGGGAGAAAGATGAGGCTTTCTGCTCCCGTCAAGATTTGCAGCCTCAGAAACCCTGTGCGGGGTCACTATTAGTTGGAACCGACTCCATGGCACTTAACAACAACAACTTCAACAAACACTTATGCATGCACACAGCATTATTAAATGCACAGAAAGGGGTAATAGTAAGCCTGGGATGGGAAAGAAAAACAGCTAGTAACAAGAAGACGACAATAAACCATCTGTTACAGCGAAGTAGAAACAGAATCAGTGAGCCAAAGTTAAATATTTTTAGTTACCTTTCATACAATTGTTTGGTTTTTCTTTATTTTTGTCATCATCTGAATCCAAATCTGTTTCAGACACATGCTCTGAGAAACACTGGGACCCAGCAACAGGCTCACACTTCAGAGTCCCTGAAATTAGAGTAGTTTTCACTTTATGACATATTCCATCTTCTCTATCATCTTCTTCAGATTCAAAGTCCTCTGAATCACTCAAGATCTTTGCTTTTTTAAAGAAAGTAGCATCCTTGCAACTTGCATTGTGCAGTCTACCCTCATATTTCCCTGGTTCAGAATCTGCTTCTTCCTCTTCTTCTGAAATGCCCCCTGCCTTCAGTTTCTGACCACATGTTGAAGGGCAAGCAGTTTTTTTACACACATTATCTGAATCATGGCTTTTAGAATCTTCCTCAGAAGAGTCTATTTTAAGAAATTTTGTTTTAGAAGTTGTTTGAGTATGGGACTTATAACCATTAGCATGCCAATTTTTCCGAGCAACTCTTAAATCACTTTCTGATTCTGAATCTCCATTTTCAGAGTGGCGAACAGTTTTCCGAGCAACATGAGAAGTAGATATGGAAGATGGCTGGTGTTGATTTTTTAGTTCTTCTTCAATATCTGACTTTAAGCTCTGATCATCTTCAGAATTATGTAATAACTTTTTTTTAGCTACAGCAGAAGCATTACGGTGAGGCAGCTTACGACCAGAGCAGACACTTTCAGAGCTGGAATTCTCTTCTACATCACTCATTAGCTTTATCTTATTGGCAGCCACAGCAGCACACTTTCGTAGAACCTTACGGCTATTTCCAGCTCTGGCTTTTATAACTGCATGAGTCTGCAATGAGTTATTATCAGAGTCACTTAAATAGATTCTCTTACGGGTGGCTTTTCTGCCAAATCCATTTTCTAAAGAGACAGGACCTAGGAGAAAAAGAACAACAGGATTAGGAAGGTCCTCCTCATTTAAAACATTTCAATGTCTTTAATTTAGTGTTCCTTATTATTAAAGCCCAAATCAATTTCCTTGCTAAGCCCAAAAAGCCTTAAGACTATTGAACCATATATAGATGCATTAAACCCAATTATTATTTAACTTTACATTATCTTAATATTTATTTCTCTTAATACCACTGAGGCTTCTTACTAGTTTTTCTTTGAGTAGCTCTTGTTCTGGTCACCCTGAGGTTGCTGCTCCTGCACAGCCCACTCCGTAATGAGGTTTCACAAGGTCTTGGACTGTCTGTACTTTCCTCTGAACTATCTGAAACTGAAGATGATGAAGAGGTAGCTGAGGAATCTTCCATTTCACTTTCTAAGAAAATAAAACACAGTTGTGTTTTCTGAATTTAGTTTTGTATGTAGTCCAGGATTGATAAGCTATTTTGAGAAGTAGGAACACAGAATTGTTTAGAAATACTGATTATTATGTCAAACAAATGAAAATTTCCATTTTAAGATTAATTTAAAAAAATTAATTAGCCCCACTAATCGATTAAAAGGAGTGTGGTACTGTAGGATAAGCACTGGACTGCTAACCACAAAGGTTACCAATTCAAACCCATCAACCCCTCCCTCCTCGGAAACCCTATACAAGGTCACTATGAGTCAGAACCAACTCAAAGGCACTTAATAACAGCTGATTCAATGGCAATGTGTTTGGTTTTAGTTTCACATACTTCTTTATGTCAAATAGACATTTTCAATAGCAAAGGGACAATTATCTAAAGTATAGCATTTCAGGAGAAATATCTGCAGGTTTCTCTCCAAACCCATTCTAACAGTAGAACAGTACCATAAATGTCATTTGCTCAAAAATGGTCTAAGTGTATGTAAAAATAAATATAACAATGGAGATTAAGAAATAATTTAAATATGGGTACTATTCCCCAGCATCTCTAAGGAGTACAACAAGCGCCCATGTGAACACAATAAGAAACCAACATTTTCTACTCCTTCATCCATACTGAGTGTAAACATGATTCTCACAGAATGACACTTAACAAAAACAAGTGGAAATGTACAGTTAAAACAAAATTTCCCTCCATAAAACTCAATTCTGTGTAAAAGAAGTGGCTGTATAAGAAGGATATCAGATGTCAAATAGTTTCTTTCAAACTGCCTTCCTGTTGGCCTGTTTCCAATTGGCTCCTAGTTTCCTCCACCACTATTACACTGACTCTTATCCTTCCCTGCACCACTGTCAAAGTGATAACTTCCTGAAACAGAATTCATCACTTGACTCCCTTACTCAAAAAAAAAAAAGTAATTCACACTCCTCTTCAGGGTTTCTAGGCTACAAAGTGGCCCGATTCTATACGTTCAATCCTATTATTTGTAACATTCACCCAAATGCACTATTGTATATAGGCAGGCTTTTCACATATACAAAATTTATCCTTACATATGCTTTTTCTCATATTGATACCCTTCTTTACAAGTGTCCCTTTATATCTTTTCATATCCTATCCATACTTTACTTCCTATTTTAAATTATTCAAAATTATGCTGATTACAACATAATATGAGGGTGCTTCTAAAAGTTCCTTGAAAACTTGAATTAAAAGTTGTGGAATTGTTCCACAAACTGTTTGAATCTTCCTCATATTATTCAGCTACAGGAATTAGATTTTATGCTTTAAATGCATTAAGATACAGTATAATTCAAACTTTGCATGTATCCACATGGTTGTTAGAGCTTCTCCACAGTATTTTATTACAGTTACCTTTCATCCCAAAATTGTATTGGTTGTCAGGTGCTGTCCAGTCGGCTTCAACTCATAGTGACCATATGCACAGTAGAACCCAATACCCAATCCTGTTGTTGTTAAGTGCCTTCGAGTCGGTTCCGACCCATAGCGACCCTGTACAGGGTTTCCAAGGGTGTAAATCCTTACGGGAGTAGAAAGCCTCATCTTTCTCCCACGGAGCGGCTGGTAGTTTTGAACCGCTGACCTTAAGGTTCGCAGCCCGATTCGTAACCACTACGCTACCAGAGCTCCTTGTATCATCCCCAAAATTGTTGCAATTGAGCCCAGAAGCTGCCACTGTGCCAATCCATCCTGTTATGGGTCTTCCTCTTTTTCTTCAATCTTCCACTTTACCAAGCACATTGTCCTTTTCCTGAAACTGGTCCCTCCAGATGACATGTCCAAAGTATGAAACATGAAGTCTCACCATCCTGGTTTCTAAAGAGCATTCCAGTTGTACTTTTTCCAACCCAGACCTGTTTGTTTGTTCTTGTACAGTCCATTGTACCCTTCTCCAATACCACAATTTAAATGCGTAAACTCATCTACTGTTTTCCTTATTCACTGTCTAACTTTTATATCCGTAATATGCTATTGAAAGTACCATGACTTGGATCAGGTGCACCTTAAGTCCTCAAATTGGTATTTTTTACTCTTGAACTCTTTAAAGAGATCTTGTGCAGCTGGTGTGCCTAATGTAAATACATCGCTTGATTTCTTGACTGCTGCTTGCCTGAGTACTGATGGTAGATTTAAGCAATATGAAGTCTGACAATTTCTATCTTTTTCCATCTGTCATTCATGATGTTACTTATTGGTTCAGCTTTTGCTTTCCTTACACTGAGGTACAATCCCTACTGAAAATTGTGGTCTTTGATCTTCATCCATATGTATTTTAAGTTCTCTTGGCTTTCAGCAAGCAAGGTTGTATCATATGCACACCACAGGTTGTTAATGAGTCTTCCTCCAATCCTGATGCGACATTCTTCTTCAGATAATCCAGCTTCTCAGATTATTTGTTTATGATACAAACTGAGTAAGTATGGTGAAAGAATCTAACCCTAGCACATACCTTTCCTGATTTAAAACTATTCAGTATTCCCTTGCTCTGTTTGAATGACTATCTCTTGGTTCGTCCTCATAAGCTCAGGCTCCTCATGAGTACAATTTAGTTGTTCTGGAATACCCATTCTTTGTAATGTTATCCATAGCTTATCATGATCCACAAAGTCAAAAGCCTTTGTACAGCCAATAAAGCACAAATAAATATCTTTCTGGTATTCTCTGCTTTCACCCAAGATCCATCTTACTTCAGCAATAATATCCCTAGTTCCATGTCTTCTTCTGAATCCAACTTGAATTTTTGACAGTTCTTTTTCAATGTACTATTGCAGCCACTTTTAAATTAGCAAAATTTTACTTACATGTGATGTAAATGGTATCCTTCAATGATTTCTGCATTCCATTTGGTCACCTCTCTTTGGAATGGGCACAAATATTGACCTCTTGGAATTGGTTTTCCAGGTAGCTGTCTTCCAGAGTTCTTGGCATAAATGAGTGAGTGCCTCCAGTGCCACATCAGTTTGTTGAAAGATTTCAATTTCTATTAAAAATCCTGGACCTTGTTTTTCATCAATGCTCTGAGTGCACCTTGAATTTCTTCCTTCAGTACCATCAGTTTTTGAAAATATACTACTTCTTGAAATGGTTGAATATTGACCTTTTTTGGGGTTTTTTTTTGTACAATGATTCCGTGTATGCCTTCCATCTTCTTTTGATGCTTTCTGCATCATCCAACATTTTGCCCATAAAATTCTTTAACTTACAAGTTGAGGTTTAAATTTTTATTTGCGTACTTTTTGCTTGAGAAATACTAAGCTTGTTCTTTTAGGGGTGTAGTTTTCAATACAATGAAATACTGGATAATTTAAGACATAAGAAAAGCATTCCAAAAAAAAAAAAAGAAAAGAAAAGCATTCCACTGTAATATAAGTATTATACTATTTTTACAGGTCACTAAACTCACTCAGAGCATTATCAAAGCACACAATATCCCTAGTCACAGTGATAACCAGGGTAGCTGTTTAACATACCCTGTCCAAATGGCAATAGTAAGGTAGGCCAACAGTTTTGAACTCATGATCATTGATACTTTTGTCTTCATTTCCCAAAATCAAGGATTATCATATTCTAATTATTCCATGTTTATTACTGCCCCCCTCCTGAAGTGAAGTGTCAAAGTCAAGTTTCTGTTTTTTCTTTTTTCTCTAAACCTACAACTAGTAATGTCCCACCCTCTTACCAGATAACGTAGACCCAGTGGTTCGTGTTACAGTTCTATTTCCTCTCCTTACTTCCAATGATGCTGCTGAATCTGAAGAGTCATCAGAAGTAATACCTGAAGAGAAGCTAGCACTTGTCTTGTGGCTTGTAGAATAAGCCGCTCTACTTGAGGTAGACTGGGTAGGAGAACCTACCAACTCAGGAATGACTTTCGACTGAGATTTTACCCGATTCTGCTTGACATTTCTGGTCAAAAAAATGAACAAAGGAAACAATATTTTAAAAACTTAAAGGAAACCATCTCAGAGAATGAAACAAAGTGTATTATTATCTTATGTGAGAATAACTTTATAATCAAAACATTAAATAGTAATTATTAACACTTTATCATAGCATAGATTATTAATATTCAGTTATTCTACATCTGATATGGTTTTATTCAAATGATATAAGTTAATAAAATGATTCAACTAACAGGGTTACAGAAAATTCTATGGAATACCTTAGATGCTTTGAATTAAATGTTAAAGGGAGCCAACATTACATAATGCAGGCATACATTCATATTAAAAAAAACTAAGCCCAGTAGGGCAAAACTTTTCCTTTAAGACTCTTCTTTGTCTTTGTATACTTCTAAAGATAGTATCAAAGAAAGATCAGGCAAAGAATTCCTGAAAATTAGCTAATGAAAACCTTACGCATGACAGAACAATGTTCAGCTTGCTTGCTTTGGACATATTGTCAGGAGAGAACAAAACATAATGAAGGACATTGTGATTGGTGAAGTGTTACATTATTGTGTTAATACATTTGTTCTGAAACTTGCCCCTGTCCCCCATTCCCACAAGTTATTTTTGTAAATGTACTATGCTAATTTTACATAACAAAAATTTACTTAAAAAGTCAGTAATGGCAGGCTTATGAAAATACCTCACAGAGGAAAGGTGTGGTTAGCAAACATGTATAAGGCGCCCATTGTGCAAAAATGCATTAAAGGATCCCTGAGGAAGAGAACTAACGGTGAGACAGATTTGCTATAATAGTCACATAATGGACATGGACATGCTTGCAATAATAAAAATGGCATGCTGTTAGGTAAAATCGAGTCGGTGCTGACTCACAGCGACCTTATGCACAGCAGAACAAAACACTGTCCAATCCTGGGGCAACCTCACTATTGTTGCCACGCTTGAGCCCACTGATGCTGCCACTTGGCCGATCCATCTCGTTGAGGGGTCTTCCTCTTTTTCTTTGACCTTGCACCTTACCAAATATATCCTTCTCCAGAGACTGGGCCCTCCTGACAATATGTCCTAAGTATGATAGACGAACTTTGGTCATCTTGACCTCCAAGGAGCACTCTGGCTGCACATCTTCCAACACAGATCTGTTGGTTCTTTTGGCAGCCCATGGCACTTTCAATATTCTCCTCTAACACCGTAACTCAGAAGCATCAATTCCACTAGGGTCTTCCTTATTCACTGTCCAGCTTTCACATGCATATGAGGTTACTGAAAATACCATGACTTGGGTCAGATGCACCTTAGTCCTCAAGCTGACACCTTTGACCTTCAACACTTTAAAAAAAGTTCCTGTGGAGCAGATTTGCCCAATGCAATAACGTCGACTTATCTCTTGACTGCTGCTTCCACGAGTGCTGATAGTTGATCCAAGAATGAAGTTCTTGACAACTTCAATCTTTTCTCCATTGATAAGAATGTTGTTTATTGGTTCAGTAGTGAGGATTTTTATTTTTCTGACATTGAGATGCAACCCATATCTAAGGCTGTGTTCTTTGATCTTCATCAGTAAATGTTTCAAGTCCTCTTCACTTTCAGCAAGCAAGGTTGTATCATTTGCATATTGCAGGTTGTTAGTGAGTCTTCTTCCAATCCTGATGCCACGTTTTTCTTCATAGAACCAAGCTTCTCAGATTATTTGCTCAGCATACAGGTTGAATAACTATAGTGAAAAAATACCTTGTCACACATCTTTTTTAATTTTAAAACATTCCATGTTCCCATGTTCTGCTCTAACAACTGCTTCTTGGTCCAGGTACAGATTCCTCATGAGCACAATTAAGTGTTCTGCAATACTCACACTTCACAATGTTGTCCGTAGTTTGTCATAATCCACACAATTGAAAGCGTTTGTGTAGTCAATAAAGCACAGGTAAATATCTTTCTGATAGTCTCTGCTTTCTACCAAGATCCATTGGACATCAGCAACGATATCCCTTGTTTCACAGCCTCTTCTGAATCCAGACCGAACCTCTGGAATTTGTCTGTCAACATATACTTGTAGCCATTTCTGTATTACCTTTAGCAAACTTTTATTCACATGAGCTATCAAAGAGATTGTCCGATGATTTACGCATTCTGTTGAGTCACCTCTTTTTGGAATGGGCACAAATATGGATCTCTTCCTATCAGTCGGCCAGATATTGTCTTCCAATATTCTTGGCATAGGTGAGTAAGTGTCTCCTGTGCCGCCTCACTTTCTTGAAAGATTTCCATTTTTATTCCATCAATTGCTGGTGCCTTGTTCTTTGCCAATTCCTTCAACGCACCTTGGACTTCCTCCTTCAGTATCATTGGCTCTTGATCATATGCTACCTCTTGAAACGGCTGAACATTAACCATTTCCTTTTGGTACTGTGACTCTGTGTTTTCCTTGCATCTTCTCTTGATGCTTTCTGCATCATTCAATAATTTACCATAAACAAAAGCATACAGAAGAGAAACCAATAAACCCTGAGCTGAAAGAAAAGAGATCAAAATAAACTAGCAGTTTCAAAGGCTAGACTGTTTACACTTTTAGTGCCAGTCCACAAAAGTTGACCTTTTGTGCTAGGGTTAATAAGGAGAACAAAGCTTAAGGCAAAATAAAATAGTCTTTGGTTATAAATTACAAATCTAGAGGATATTCATATTGAAACAATGCTGTTCCTTTTACAACAAAAAGACAGAAAACCTGTTCAAAGGTGTCCAGACATTCAGGTTCAGAGACAACATAATTCTATAAAGCAGTTGCTGTTGTTAAGTGCTGCTGAGTTGATTCCAGTCTATAGTGATCATGTATAGAGTTTGAACTGCTGACCAGTTCTTATCCTACAGTGCCACACCAGGGCTCCATAAAGCAGCTACCCTCTATATTATAATAAAATTCATGTGTGGCATGTCAGAATTTTTAGCTACCATTAATTCTTGTGGGACAAAGATGAGGCTTTTACTCCTGCAAAGATTTAAAAAGTCTTGGAAACCTTATACAGGGTCCCTGTGAGTCAGAACCAACTTGAAGGCACTTAACAACAACAACAAAAACATTAACATCAAGAAAGGGCAGACGAGTAGGTCTGAAAAGTAAAAAATACATGTTTATACTTGATTTTTAACAGAGTAGATAAAGTGTTAGTACTTTTGGACTGAAAACTTTCCTTTTATAATTTATGTCTTTCCGAACTGTTAAGGCTTCTTTTTCTTGGTTCAATGACATATTTTTAAAATAGAAATAAAAACTTATAGAAAAGAGGCAAACCTAAATTGAGAATTATTTTATAAAATTACTGTCCTGTACTTTTAAAAAATGTCAGTCAAGGTAAGATAACAAGATAACAACAACAAAAAATACTCCAACTTTTAAAAGTACAAGTCCTGGTGTGGCACTGTATGGTAAGCATTCGACTGCTAACCACAAAGTCAGTAGTTCACACCCAGCAAGTGCACCTTGGGAACCTATACAATCGCTATGAGTCAAAACTGACTCAACTGCACTTAATAAGCAAAGATATATAGTAAGTAATTCAAAAATCTTGAATTAAATTTTTTTTTGCTGTAAGAAATTGTGTCAGCTGTAGAAAATTAAATGTAGTTATAATATGAAATGCCCTAGTTCTTACAAAATCCACAGCATTTAGGGTAAAGGAGTATGATATTGGTAAATACTACCTAATGTTTCAAAAGCAAAAAACATTTTCAATAAGCACGATAAAGTAAATGTGGTAGAATGTGGACAACTGGTGAATATAAGTGAAAAGTACTAAGAGTGTTATCAACTTTTTGTACTTTTGAAATTATTTCTAATGAAAAGCTTTTAAAAAATGTTTTTCTGGGGCTAACAGTTACACAATAATTTGTAGTATCTGTATTTTGATTATAAGTTGCAAACTAAACAGAAATAAATCAACTATCTATATGCTTGTCTGCCACCCAGCTAACTTACCTCAGTGTAGTTCTACTGTTTAAAACATGGGGATAAGGGGGGGAAGAATGAGTTAATCAGCAAAACTTCTCACACAAAAAGCAGTGGGAGTGAGGGTGGGGGTGGGAGGGAGAGAAGGAAAAAAAAAAAAAAAAAAGATCAAAAGCAACCATTTCTGAACTCTGAAGACATTACCAGAAATTGAAAAGTGTTTATTCAAGAAAACCTAGGTAAGAACAGTGGGGTCTAAGGCATTTCACTTGGGGCTGAACCTCTGTTAAACACACCCCAATTCTGTCATATTAACTATGAGGACCCACCCAAAAGCTAGAGGATTTGGGAACTCTACAAAGACTAGAATACTCAAGGGTGTTGAAATAGTGGCCATCAGTAAAGCGCAGCTGCCTAAAAATGGGACACTCGATGAGACAAGCAAGAAATAAGCTAAAAGTTGTTTTAAAAAAGATATATATAGCTATAAAGTCTTTGAAAATTGTCAACTATTGTTAGGAATGTGGAAGGTTGCACACATATTCAAGAAAGGCTAAAGAGAGCTTACGTTATCTCCTCATCCCTACCTGACGACCTTGAGACCCTAATGTTTTGCTTAGCAAAACATAAGCAAACAGTGAAAACCAAGGCAAACGTGTACACTGCCTGAATCTGAGTATGTGTGCAATCTCACACATATATCTATCATGAAAAGATGAAAGATTTAGTAGCAGTGTTTACGAAACTTTTGATCACTAACGTATTCTGACCCAGAAAAGATGCCTAAGAAGCCAGGCTCAATAACACAAACACAAAATTGTAAAATAAACAGTGCCTTGCACACTACAGAGAAGACAGACGCTGCAGAATTAGTTGAGGAATAACACTAAATAAGTGAAAAAAGCAACAATTACCACTACTCCCAAGAGAAGGATCAGAAGCCAGAGTAACTACAAGTTACCAATAATAACAAACACATACTATCTTATTTACTATTTCCAGTATTCAGCAGGGAAAAATTACAAAACAAGCCATGAAACAAAAAACTGTAGCCCACAGATAAAAAAATATGCTATCAATAGAAAATGAGAGGAGCCAGATGATAAATTTTGGAAATGATGATTTAAATTTATTTATTGTAAAGTATGTTCAAAGAACTAAGTAAGAACTACTATATAATTATATGTTGTTGTTGTTATGTGCTGTGGAGTCGGTTCGAACTCATAGCGACCTTGTATAGGATTTCCAAGGCTATATAGCTTTGCGGGAGCAGAAAACCTCATCTTTCTCCCGCCGAACAGCTGGTAGTTTCAAACTGCTGACTGTGAGGTTAGAAGCCCTATTTGTAACCACTACACTACCAGAGCTCCTTATATAATTGTATAATTAAAGAAAAATATAATAGGTATGATTTACCAAATAGAGAATAAAGAGATAAAAATACTTTTAAATATTGTTGTTGTTGTTAAATACCATTGAGTCAGTTCCAACTCATAGCAACTCTGTACAGGGTTTTTCCAAGGAGTGGCTGGTGAGTATGAACTGCCAACTTCACAGTTCAAACAGACCTTGCGGTCCAGTGCTTTATCCCACAACTCCACACCAGGACTCTCTGCTGAAACATACAATAACTAAAACAAAGATTCACTAAAAGAGCCTAAGAACAGATCTAAGCTGGCAGAACAAAGATCAGTAAACTTGAGGAAGAGTCAATAAAGACTGTCCCAGTCAAAAGAACAAAAAGAAGTTAAGAATTCACGGCAGAAAAAAATGTGAAGAAATAATGGTTGAAAACTTCTTAAAATATCATTCTGAACATCCACCAAAGTTGATAAGCTACAAGTAGTATAACATCAAAGAATTTCATATGTAAGCACATTAAATTCAGTTGATAGAGATAGAAAAAAAATCTTAGAAGCAGTAAGAAAAAGACAAGTCAATCTGCATTTGGGTAACTAAATAAGATAAACGGGTGACTTCTTATCAAAAACAATGGAGATTAGAAGGAAATAGAAAGAAATACTCAAATTGATAAATTATGTTTCACAGTCAACTATGAAATCTATACCCGTAACATGATTACTCAAAAATGAAAATGAACCCATTTGTCTATGGACAACGGATTTTTGACGAGGGGTCAAAGACTAACAGAATAACCATTTGTAGGAAAATGAAATGGATCTATACCTCCAAACAAATACAAAAACTAACTCAAAGTGGATCAAACCTAAATGTTAAACTGAAAACTGTAACATTTCTAGAGCTATAAAGTGCCTGGAAGATCATATAAGGACAAAGCTATGGAACCTCATTTTTCTAGAAAACAGACACAACTATAAATGCAAAAAATACCAGAAAACAAATAAGACAAATGAAACCTCATAAAAATTAAATTCTTAGGCACATCAGAAAACTTTCTTAGGGAATGAGATATCCATAAAAGGGTCTAATCTCCAAAATATAATAGACAACTTCAATAGCTTCAACAACAAAGGCAAATCCAGTTTAAAAATGGGCAAAGGGCATGAACCAACACTTCACCAAACAGTACATTCAAACAATCAACAAACAAATGAAAAGACATTTGCAACAATTTGTTGTTGTGAAGTGCTGTTTAGGTAATTCCGACCCATAACGACCCTGTATAGGGTTTCCTAGGAGCAGCTGGTGAGCTTGAACTGTCGACCTTGCAGTTCAAATGGCTTTGCAGTCGGGCACATTAACCCACAGCACCACACCAGGGCTCCTTTGCAATAACTTGTTGTTAAGTGCCATCGAGTCAGTTCCAACCCATAGCGACCCTGAACAGGGTTTCCGAGGCTGTAAATCTTTACAGTAGCAGAAAGCCTCCATCTTCTCCGGAGGAGCAGCTGGTAGTTTCAAACTGCTGACCTTGCGGTTCGCAGCCCAATTCGTAACCACTACACTACAATAACTAGAGAGATGCAAATCACAACTATGAGATATCATCTCAATTCTGCTAAAATGTCACTAAAGAATTAAAAACAAAACAAACAGAAAACATATGCTGACAAGGTTCTGGGGAGACTGGAACTTTTTATACACTGCTGGTGGGATCATAAAATAGTACAACCATCATAGAAAACAGTAAGGCACTTCATCACAAAAACACAAACAGAAACACCTAATGAATCAGCAATCCCACTCCAAGGTATATATTGTAAAGATATAATAAATGGACATATATGCATACCCATGTTCCTTCTATCACTATTCAAAATAGCAAAAAGTTAAAAACAATCCAAACGCCCATCAACAGATGAATGAATAGCCTTAAAGAATGACAAGTTTTCAAAACGTATTATAATGTGGATGAATCTGAAGGACATCATGCTGAGTAAATTAATCACAGAAGGACAAATATTGCATACTCTCACTTTTATAAAAAGACAAGAATAGGAACATCTACAAATACCAACATTCACTGATGATTACCACAGTTGGTGGGGGAAGGAGGGATCAGGAGACACTATTTTGGTGATAGGAAAGGTAACACTAAATTTGAGTTAAGTGTGTACAACCTGAGTAAGGTTCAATTTGCCGCTAAGAAATACACAAGAGAAAAAGATGCTTTGGTGAAGGCTAAGGCACACATAATTTTATATTAAGTAGAAAAAAAAAATACAGTTATATATGTATATACATATGCAAAAAAAGTACGGGTGTGTGTATATACATGTGTATACCCATATATGTATGTGCATATGGATTCATAGGGGCACAGTTATAGATTGTTGTTGTTGTTATATGCTGTGGAGTCGGTTCCGACTCATAGCGACCCTCTACAGGGTTTCCGAGGCAGTAAATTTTTACAAGAGCAGAAAGCCTCATCTTTCTCCCATGGAACGGCTGGTAGTTTCGAATTGCTAACCGTGAGATTAGCAGCCCAATTCGTAAACACTATGCTACTAGAGCTCCTTAGAGTTATAGATACTTCCTAATAACAACCTGGAGTCCTGATATGGTGCTGTGGAATAATACACTGGACCTCAAAGTCGGTGGTTCAAATTTACCAGCTACTCCCTGGAAACTCTGTATACAGAGTCGTTATGAGATGGAACCAACTCAGAGACACTTAATAGCAACAAACATATCCTAATTCGTTGCAAGACTGGTTTCCTGGTTTTGGAGGTTTAGGACCACAGTACCAGGGACAACTCGATCAACTGGCACAATATAGTTCATAACGTTCATGTTCTATATCATACCTTGATGAGCAGTCTCTGGGGTCTCAGCGAGCAGCTAAGGTACAACTACTGGTCTCTACTCATTTGGGGCAAAAGAGAATGAAGAAAACCAAAGACTCAAAAGAAGAAACTAGTCTGAAGGACTAATAGTCTATATAATCCATGGCCTCATCTATGAAAGCATTACCAACTATTCTCATCAGAGATACAATGACATGGATCCTAACAGAGAAAGAGAAAAATGTAGATTAGAGCTCAAATTCTTAAGAAGTTCAGATTTACCAACCATTTGAGACTGGAGGACTCCTCAAGACTATACTTGAGAAATTCTTTAAACTACATTTAAACTACTGAAATTACTCTATTTTTAGAAAAATAATCTGCAAATTATATGTGTGTAGTTTTTCCTTTTGTTAAACCATGTAGCCCCCCGCCAAATGCATTTGTCTCCTATGCAAATTATGAGTGCTACATACACGTGAGCATTATTTACAAATGGGTGCATTTCTATATGGAAAATGTTGTATTCCCTGAAGTCTCCTTTTAGCCAAATAGCAGAATAGCTTATGAAATAAAAAATAACACCCTTGGGGGGTAGTAGGAAGAGGAATAAAGTTAAACAACTGAGAAAATTCATTGCTAGCACTTTTGCCTTATAAGAAATAGTAAAGGAAGTCATTCAGGCTGGGGGAAAAAAAAAGACACCAGACAGTAATACAAAGCCACACAAAGAAATAAAGATCACAGGGAAAAGTAATTTTATAGGTAGATATACAAACCACTGTAATTAATATTTTCACGTCTAAATCAAAAAGATAATTGCATAAACATACTATAAAAACATGCAGTCGGTAACAGAACAACATCACAAAGGAAGAGGTAGGGAAGGAAAGGGAACACAGTTTCAATATCTACTGGAATTTAAACAGTGAATTAACCTAAAGTAAATTATTTGGAATTAAGACACATGGTGATAATAACCAGAGCAACCTGTAAAAATTGAAATGCAGAGTACCTTTATTTCTTCCTAACACCTAATTCTCAATTAATAATTCAGTTTATAGTAATTCTCAATAAATGTTTAGTGAACATTTCCTCTTATACAATCAAGTGCTTAATAGCTATACTTATTCTTTTTAATGCCTGCATTAAAAATATGTATCTTACACAAAACATAAATGTAATTTATATAATCTGACAAAGTTAAAAAATTGTTTTACAGAACGATGATATAAATAATTTCATAAAAATCCTATCATAACCAATTCACCTGATACTTTTGTTAGCCTGATTGATGCGGTTACAACTTAGTCGTCTCTTAAACCTCTGGCTTCTTCGAAGTTTTTCATTAAATTTTTGACCAATTTTAAAATCAGAGGAGATTTTCTTCATTTTTTCTTCAAATAAGGCAGACAGTCTCAAGGTCATACTGTAAATCTTTCGAGACACAAAAGAAAAACTGCAATTATGAAATACCTTTCAAAACATTTTACAAAAAAAAAGTCACTCTGGAGGTCTCTTGTACCTTATTATATCACTACTTACAAACAATGGCTTTTATTTATTTTGTCTACTCAAAGCAACTCTCCAGGAGCTAGACTCTCGGACTTACATGTCAATGATTCTCAATAAGGACATATGGATAATTACTCATGATTTGAATTCAAAGGTAGAAAACAAAGGAAGGATCGATCAGTAGTTGAAAATATTGCTTCAGTGATAGAAATTATGGAGATCACTTGATATAAATTTTGTTAGACCAATGACTTATTCATTGTAAGTACTTTTTAAACAACATAAGAGGTGAGAATACACGGACCTCATCAGATGGAATACACAGTTACCAAAATGACTATATTAATGGGAAGAAATGGTAGAAAAGCTCAATATCATTATCCAAAACAAGGCCAGGGGCCAGTTATGGAAAAGACCAACAATTGCTCATTTGCAAATTCAGAAGCTGAAGAAAATTAGAACAAGTACACAAGAGCCAAAATATGACCTTAAATATAACCCAGCTGAATTTAGAGATCTTCTCAAAAAACATTATTTGACCAGAAGACCATCAAGAGCATCACATAGGAAAAAAGCAAAAGCAAAAAAAGGAAAACAAAAAAGAAGACTCTGAAATTTGCTCTCCATTGTAGAGATATGGAAGTGGTAACATAAGAAGTCAGACAAGATTATAATGAAACGTGCAAAGACCTGGAGTTCTTCCAAAAAGGAATAACACACACATTTCTCAAACTGAAAAAGTATTCAAGCCTCAATTTGAAGTATTGAAGGATTCTATGAGCAAAATATTGAATGATGCAGAAAATATAGAGAAAAAGTTTTTAAATGGAAAGAATACAGTCACTGAACCAAAAATTGGTTGATGTTCAACCATTTCAAGAGGTAGCATAAGCTCAAGACACTATGGTATTGAAGTAAGAAATCTAAACTGCACTCAAGGCACAGAAAAAAACAGGGCTCCAGGAATTGACAGAATACAAAATGAAATCTTTTCAACAAACTGATGAAGCACTGGAGATGCATATTCATCTATGCCAAGGAATTTTGAAGATAGCTAGTTACCTGGTCAACTGATTGAAAAAGATCCATATTTGTGCCCAATCCAAAAAAATGTGACCCAAAGGAATGCCAAAATCATCAAACAATATTAATATGACATGGAAGTAAAACTTCACTGAAGATAATTCAGAAATGGCTGCAGCACTACATCAGAGAACTGCAAACAATTCAACCTAGATTCAGAAGAGGACGTGAGGCTAGGGATATCATTGCTGACGTCAGATGATCATAGTTGAGAGCATAGAATACCAGAACGATAGTTACTTGTGCTTTATTGACTATGTGAATCATGAAAAGTTACAGCCAGCACTGCAAAGAATGAGTATTCCAGAACATGTAACTGGCTCATTTGGAACCTATACATAGACCAAGAGGCAGTCATTTGAACATTAACATGGGAAAACTAAGTGGTTTAAATCCAGGAAAGGTATGTGCCAGGATTGTATCCTTTTACCATCTTAGTTAATTTGTATGCTCAGCAAATAGTCCAAGAAGTTAGGTTATCTGAATTAGAATGTGGAATACGGATAGGAAAATGAATAATAAACGAACCGTGATCTACATATATACAACCTTACTGGTTGGAAGTGAAAAGGACTTAAAACACTTACTGATAATGAATTAATGACTTAAAATACTTACAAAAACGACACGTTTCACTATGGATTGCACACCTCAATGCAGAGAAACAAAAATCCTCACAGCCAAATCAATAAATAGCATCATGATAAATGGAGAAAAGATTGAAGTTGTCTAAGACTTTGTTTTACTTGAATCCACAAATCAATGCTTATGGAAGCAGCAATCAAGAAATCAAACGACTTACTGTATTAGGCAAATGTGCTGGACAAGACCTCTTTTAAATAAATGTTCAAAAGCAAAAATAGTTATGTGAGAACTAAGGTACACTTGATCCTAACCACTTTCTTGGACCCGTATTTTGGTATTTCAATTGCTTGAACTTCTTCATTCAATACCATCAATTTTGGATCATATGTGAAAATTGGACTATGAATATTTAAAGACCATAGAAAAATTCAAGCATCTCAGTTATGGTGTTACTGAAGAATACTGACAATACTAGGGACTGCCAGGAGAACAAACAAATCTGTGTTGGGAAAAGTACAGCCAGTATGCTCCTTAGAAACCAGGTTTTCTCTCTTAATACCTTGGAGCATGTTATTAGGAGGGACCAGTCCTGGGAAGACATATCATGTTTGGTAAAGTAGAAGGTCAGCAAAAAAGAGGAACACCCCAAAGAGATGGACTGACACAGTGGCAGCAGCAATGGGCTCACGTGTCCCAATAATCATCAAGATGGCTCAGGACCGAGCAGTGTTTCTTTCTGTTGTGCATATGGATGCTGTGAGTTGGAATCAACTCGATGGCACATAATAACAAATTTGTTTATATGTAAAAATTCAAGTGGGGCTTCAAATTATTGTGTAAAAATATAGAATTGCTAACTTGAGTCAAAGGGAAGGCAATAAACAATAACATGGGGGGGGGACTGCAACAGTTAAAAGGCAACAGAGGTAACTAATGTTACATACACAATTCTGAAAGAATGGTGATCTATGGGTAGATATAGATACATAAGATGAACAAGTATGAGAGGAGTGGGAGTATGTCCACAAATGAATAAAATTTTGATAGAGGATATTTGTCCATAAGTATTTACCTTTGTGGCAAACATGATCCGTGAATGTAGTCGAGTATACAGAATAATGTTGTGAAAACTCTTAGATGTTACTAAACACCTGAGGCAATTATTTACTGGCACTGGGGGCTCAGAACCATAGTCTTTAGGTACACCATGATCAACTGGCATACAACAGTCGACAAAGATAATGTTTTGCTTTGTCTTTTGTAGCAAAGGGGATCTATAAAGCTCATTCACGGCCATCTAGGGTGCAACTGTTTGTCTCTCCCTTTCCAGTGGGATGAAAAGTGATGAAAACTGAAGGTCCTTGAGGGCCATTAGTCCAATGGACTGATTATTGTTGTTGTTGTTAAGTGCTGTTGAGTCGGTTCCAACCCATAGCAACCCCTGTATAGGATTTCTGAGGAACAACTGGGGAGCCTGAACCACTGACCTTGACATTCAAACTGAGTTTGCAGTCCACATTAACCCGCACCATCACACCAGGACTCCAATGGGCTAACAGACTACATGAATATCAGTTCTCCAGATCCTGAGACCAGAAGAGCTAGATAGTGTCCAACTATCACTACCAACTGCTCTGAAAAGGATGACATTACAAAGTCCTACACAGAGTAGGATGAAACATGGAGCAAAACTCAGAATCATGGAAAGGACCAAGTTTCCTCATCAGATGGAGACTGATGGAAGCCTGACACTATGATCTGGGGTTGCACCAATACCCATATGACTCAATTTTCAGCCTAGCAATGGGCAGGTGCACCAAACGGTGGTTGGTTGTTCGGGATGGAGAGGGCCAGTTGCAGTTGCCCAGTGACGGAATTCACAGGGGTTGGGAGACAAGGATAGGCAGAAGTGGGGCAGTAAGGAAAGGGAGGTGTTAGGTGTTATTGAATTTGAGGGGGTAGAAGTCATTGAGATGATAAAAAGTATATGGTTTGTTGGGTGTGAAACTGATGTTACACTCTGTAAACCTTCACTCAGTTCAAAATTGTTTGGTTAGCTGTCTGCCATCAAGTCATTTTTGACTCATAGTAACACTGTACAGGGTTTACAAGGTTGTAAAATTTTACAGGAGTAGAAAGCCTCATCTTTCTCTCATGGAGCAGCTGGTGGATTCAAAATGCTGATCTTACTATTAGAAGCCCAAAGCTTAACCCACTATGCTACCAGGGTTATTCATTTGATGTGATTGTGTGGTGGTGGGGGAGTTTCTAAATAGTTTATATGAAAAATTCGGTAATATATCTCAAGTGAAAATACTTTTAAAAAACTGGTGTGAAAATTGGACTACTATCAAGCAGTGTCATCAAAACTCTTCAAATATTTATTTCTTTGCTAATAAAACAATAATTCTAAATCATTGTTGTTAAGTGCCATCAAGTCAGTTCCAAATCATAGTGACTCTGTATAAGGGTTTTTGAGGAGCAGCTGATAAGTTTGAACTGTCAACCTTAAGTTCATACTCTATCTTCCTCAAATATGTATTTTAAACCGGGGTGGGGTATACTTATCATTTAAATAGAAAGAAAGGGTCCCACCAGTGTTGATGGTTACATAAATCCAATGTTGGAAAAACATCAGACTTTAATGTTAAACGGAAACAATCTCGTTATTGAATGCAATGATATGATACGAGATGCAATAATGCAAGAATCTAATACTGAGTAATTAGGGGAATGTGGAGTTAAAGAAAAATAGTCTGGTCAGAGAAAACACTAAACTCTATGAAGTAAACCTTGAATTTAAAATCTTACATCTCAAATTATTATTGATATTATGAATGGACTCAGCTCACTGTTTACAAAAATGTGTTGTAGAAACTCACTGAATATGAAATGTATACTTGTATATATTATGCTCTGTTTTAAACAGTTATGCAACATATAACATGCTACAAATGTAGGAATGTGTTTTCTGTTCTTGCTTTTGAATAACCAAGATAGCAAGATGGCAGACTAGGAAGATACACTACATGGAATCTCTACAACAAAGGTTACTTTTGTTAAGTGCTGCTGAGTCAGTTCCAGATCAGAGCAAGCCTGTAAAGGGTTTCCAAGGAGCGGATGGTGAGCTGAACCACCGCTCTTGTGGTTCAAACTGACCTTGCAGTACAGTGTATTAACCCGTAGCCTACGCCACAACAAAGATATGAGAAACCAAATGAAACAGACACAAGATGAAAATTCTGGCATCCTGAACATCAGAAGAAAGGTTAGAGAGGTGAATAGAATGCTTCCTAGAAGAGAGGCCAAGAAGGAATGGTAAGAGGGAGACTGACTAGTGAATAGTTGGGCATATATGTGACTCAAACATCTTGTGAACATTTTTGGAAGTGGAGGGAGGTCTGTCAGAGAAGATTCTCACAGGTGATGGAAAAGATGCGATTTCTCCTTTTTCCTCACAATTCCCTGGTGACCAGAGTTGTGGCCAGCTCTCACCATCACCCACCCCCAGTGAGGACCCTGCTCTCACGGAGTTCAAAGCCACATGGTTGGGAGCCAAGCCAATGTGAGTTGGGGGGTTTGCTGTGTCGCTTTGCTATCTGGATTCAGGTGGGTTTAGTTTCTACAAAACCTCCAGAGTCAACAAACCAGCATTAAACCAGTCACCCTGCCCCCAACTTCCCTATGGTCCTAACAGACACTACTGAAACCAACTCAATCAAGGGCCCTCACGAACTACTTCAGGATCGAGCGCCCTGAACATAGATAACAATAATGTCAACAGCAACTCCATTAGAGTCAGGAACTCTGTTTTCACAGCCATTCCACAATCACTTCATGAGTTCCTTGAATTGCAAAAGCCTCCCCAGAGATTTCTCCCTTCTGAATCCAACCTGATTTAACATACATGACAACACCACCCAGAATTCAATCCAGATATAGAAGTATTTAAAGTAAAACAAACCTACAAAACTGAAAATAGGAAATGAGAGATATCAATGTAAAATGAAGTCAACTACAAAACTAAATGGGGAATGGGAATAGTGTAGATAAAGAACTTCCAAATGGCGAAGAACTCAAGTAGATTTCAGATAAAACAGACTGTCATAAGCAGGGGAAAAATAAATAAATTACAGGGTAACCACAAAGAAAAATGGTACATCTACACATCAAAATAAAAAATGAGGAAAATCAGAAAGATTTAGCAAACATTAACAGAAATGAAAATGAAAAAAAGAAAACTCAAACAAAATTAACAGAGAAAATTATTTAGAGCAAAGTATCCAGCAGGACCACACCAAAAAACAAACCCACATACACAAATGACAGCAATTAATTCATAACCTTCTGATAATTACACTGAATCTAAATGGATTAAATGTGCCAATCAAGAAATAAAGAAACAGAATGAATACAAAAACAGGATACTTCAATATGCTGTCTGCAAGAGACATAATCAAAAAGATGGGGACAGCCTAAATGTTCATCAACAGAAGAGTGGCTAAACAAACTTTGGTACATATGCATACAAAATGGAATATTATGAAACACTGAAGAACAATGATGAATCTATGAAACACCTACACCTCTCAATATGGTTGAACCTGGAGGACATTATGCTGAAAGAAACTAGTCAACCACAAAAGTACAAAAATTGTATGAAAACTAAGTTGCAAAAAGTTACAGAGAAAAGATTTTCTTGATAAAAGAAACAATCTCCCAGCCGGTCTCCTCCCTCCCTGCCTTCTTCGGATGGTGGCTGTTTATGCTGGACGTGTGGCCAGAGACGGGTAAGGATCACGTGGAACCTCGGCAACCTAAAACAGAGCCATTGCCATGCTGCAATAAGTTTTGATGACAGGTTAAGACGGAGGAATTCGCACTGACCGCCTAAGACAGGCAGCGTCCCCTAAACAAATAATAAATAAGGGGGAAACAGATGTAGACCGTGCAGACCGGCCAGGAGTTCAAGGCCCTGTGGGCCCAAGCATTGCAGACCGTCCAAACCATAGGCTCTGAGGATCAGACTTTAGCCACCTAGCAGACATAGCAAACTGTCCCTCATCTGATAATTCAGTTATGCTTGTTAGTAATCGCATACATGAGCCCTGGATATCCACAGATAAATGTAGAAACCTTCCCTAAAAGCCGAGACTGTAAATTTCAAAAAGGCAAAGTTTTTCTCCCCCCCGCCTCCCAAAAAAAAGGAGAATAGCTAAAGAGGATAGAGAGAAACACTGTTGACTGATGATGTATGGAGGGGATTGTAATCAATGTAATTCAATGTAATGAAACAAGTCATATGAATGGTTGAATGTGAAACTGATGATATGCCCTGTAAACTTTCACTCAATCCACAATAAAAACCTTAAAAGAAAAAAGAAACAATCTATGATGGTTCAGGGCTGTGGAATTATTCATGGACTAGAGGGTCAGCGATGTTAACATGGGTAACAAGGCAAGTAATATATAAGAAAGAGGTTAAGAGAGGAAAGATGAAGGTAGTAGAAGATGGAGGAATACAATAGTCAAAGTGAACAGAGGTAAATGCTGTTAATTGTTGGCACATGGAGGGGATTGTAACCATGTTATGAAACGAAGTATATGATTTGTTGAAAGTTAAAACTGATGGATGTGCTCTGTAAACCTTCATTCAATTCACAAAAAAGATTAAATAATCCGTTTATACATGTTGCTGTGTCACATAAAATATGCCTTCAGTCATCCCACTCTTATTTCAGATCTTCCATTTTATTACTTTTAAATCTTTAACTGTCTCTACCAATAAAATTTCCAATCTTTATAAAAAAGACCAGTCTATGTATCAGAAACACAGATGCTTGTCATTTTACATATCAAATTAAAATCTGCTCACTTTCCATTTATGTCCTCACTTCCACCAACCCTTATTGGTCATTAAATTTTAGGGAACATGTATATTATTTTATAAAGCAACATTAGCAAATTTGGACAGCAGTAGCAATTCTATTCTTAACTTTAGTAGTTGTCTTCTCTATCCACATAACTAATGTTTCAGTCTCTCCAAAAAAATGAAAATTGGTGTCTATACAGGACACACACACTCTTGTTTTCAAATAAAATGCTTTAAAAATTTACCTTTGATCTCTTGTTTGGTGTGTATGCTTTTGCATTACTAAATATCAGCCGGATATCTTTGCAAAATTCCAAAGGGCTGTCATAATTTTCTGCTTCTAGTGTTTCCCTCACTGTTCCAAAATCCATTGGAGTATCTATAATATCACGATAGTCCTAGGTTTTAAAAGCAATAATTAGTCAATAGATTGAATTCCTGCTTTTAGAAATGTAAATGGTAAAAGGGAAAAAGATGTTAGAAAGATCTTCAGATTCATTAATAATTTTTAAAGGAGTCACAGATACACAAAATATGAAAAAGAATATAACAAATTTATTCATGTGTGGCACTGTGGGATAAAGCACTGGACTGCAAGGTCAGTTTGAACCTAAGGTCAATGGTTCAAGCTCACCAGATGCTCCTTGGAAACCCTATACTGGGTTGCTATGAGTTAGAACTGACTTGACGGCACTTAACAATATCTCTAAGTAGGTAGGATTTGGGATATATTTTCCTTCTTTATACTCTGTAACTTCTAGGATGATAGTAAATTTGTGCTGAAATAATCTTTTTTATTATTACTTTTAAAAAGATCATTTTCCATTCCCCTATTACAGTAGTCAAGAAAGACACTTTTATCCAACTCATACTTTTCCTGTGATATTTAATGCATAGCCAAAACCAAAACTCACTGCAGTAGAGTTGATTCTGACTCAGATCTACTCTCACTGGACAGAGGGGAGCTGCCCCACAAGGTTTCTAACGCTGTAAAATTTTATGGAAGCAAACAGCCTCATCTTTTTCCAGTGGAGCAGAGTTGGGAGGGTTTGAACCACTGACCTTGTAGTTAGCAGATCAATGTTTAACCCACTGCACCTGCAGGGCTTCTATTTAATGCATGTTAAGTTAAATGCTACTGAGTCAGTTCCAACTCACAGCAACCCTATACAGGGTTTGCGAGGCGTTTCTTTGTTTTTAATCTTTAAGGAAGCAGAAAGTTTCATCTTTCTTGCACTGAGCACCAACCACAACACTGTGTCATGTTGTTAAGTGCTGTTGAATTGGCTCTGACTCATAATGACCCTAATACAGGGCTTTCAAAGAGCAACTGGTGGGTTTGAACCACTGACTTTGCAATTAGTAGTCCAATGTTTATCCTACAGCACCAAAACAATTTCCAATGGAGCCACTGTGCACAGTTATCTAAAATGCTCATTTTAATATACTGTGAAACACTGGTTCAATTAAGTCTTAATATTTATATGGCATACAAGAGTATCTACACATTGTGAAAATTCAGCATTAACAACTCTTCAATGGTTGTAATACGACCACTGACTTAATAGTATGGTTTACTTAACATAACACCTAGACATTTTACCCTTTAAAATTTAGTTTGTTACACAAGTCTAACCCAATCTATTCTCCACATAACATTTAAACAATGAAAACTTACTGGATATTCAACCAAATCAACAGGTTGTCTAAATGGTTCAGAATCTTCACATTGAAAAATTAAGTTCACTAGTTCTTTGCATTGCTTCTTCCAGTTGCTTTCTACATAGTTGGTTGCTTTGATGCTCCTTTTATTTTTCCAATCATGAACCTAAAAATATTAAGTTTCTTATCAATCTAAGAAAAAGTCATAATATGGAATCAAAATTATCACACCAATACAAATGCAGCTTTTACCTTCTGTACTATGTCTGAAGAATTGAGACTATTTTAGATTCAGGATTAAAAAAAAAAAAAAAACCTCACCTTTTCGAACACATGCCAAAACACCACATCTGTTACTCTAAGAATATTCTAAATGAAACCTGGCAACTGAGAAAAAAAAATATTTGAAAAGCATGCTCCAAACAGAGTATATCATTTAGGGAAAGGCTATTATTCAACCACCTATTCTTCCATCTTGTAAAATTTGTTCACAGAATATGAACTTTCATTTTCGATACAGTGGTATACACGTTATGGCTTGAACTGTGTCTCCCCTTCCCCCCGCCAACAAAATATGAACTGGAATCCTAACCCTTGAAGTTTTATATATGATCTCATCTGGGAATCCAGAATGTCTTGTATCACTTTTGGGATATGAAAAGAGATCAGACAAAGTAAGGAAACAGATGGGGAAGAAGGATGCCAAAGGACATGAAGATCACAAAGGAACTAAAGAAAGGAAGATGAAGGGAGACAAGGGCTATTCATCAGAGATAACAGAGTAAAAGCCTTCCTCCTCTACAGAGTCAATGCCCTGGTTGGGCTTCTAGTCTCTTAACTGTGAGTAAGCAAATTTCTGTTGCTAAAGTAACCTACTTTTGGTGCTTCTAGTACAGCAGAAATAGATAACGAAGCAGAATAATGACTTTCAAAGATGTCCATGTCTTAATCTACAGAACCTGTGAAAATATGCTACCTTACATGGCAAAAGGGACTTTGACTGATTGAGTATTGTTGTTGTTGTTGTCAGGTGCTATCGAGTCGGAACCGACTCATAGCGACCCCATGCACAGCAGAACGAAACAATGGCTGATCCTGGCCCAACCTCACT